TGTGTCTGTATAAAGTAGACAGGCTTTATCTCCATAGCGAGGCTTTATGTAACCGTACCAAAAGTTAAACATCATGGTCTTGCTAATATCGAGAATTGCCTGCCCTACATAGATTGGTTTGTTTAGAATCACTGTGTTTTTTAACATGTGAATGGCTGTAATTTCTCCTTCGAATTGCTTGAAATCTACAAATAATAGCGAACTTGCTAAGCGTCTAATTTTTTTATCTTCTTCTGTTTGAAGTAACTCTACTCTCATATGCTTACGAACATTTTCCATCTGTTTACCAAAGATAGCATTATTTTTTAGCTTATAATACATAACCCCAAACTCATCTTCATTAACCTTGGCTATTTTGCATTTGCGAATATTTTCCTTAATATATTCTTTCATCCATGGAGATTGTCTAAACTTGAGAGCGCTATGAACTTTTGTAACCTTCATTCTGAACTTCATATATGTCTGGAGAGCTCGATAGTGAACTACATAATTCTTCTTAGTAAAAAAGGTCTGAACCAACTTCTCTCTAGACATGTATTTTCTACCCCAACTTCTTTATCATAGACTAATCTTTCATTATACAAGCTAAGCCAGTCTTCTGGAACTATTTGCTTTTCAGGCACTAACGGATAGTCTGCAAAGAAATCATGCAAATGTACTAGAACTTCTAGATCAACTTCAAGTGTATAACCTATTTCTGCATCAGGCGCAATACTTCGAATATCCAGAACTTTCTCTGGACCTACCTTTTCTAATATTTCTGTGGGCATATATTGCGTCATTGCACCTGAATATAAAGCATTAAAATCCTCATATAGTACCCAAAACTTTGGCTTGCTAGGATCATAGTCAGAACATTTAGGATTATTCACTTTAGCATATCGGTAACTTGCCATTGTCATCCCTCTTTGAATGCTATTCTCAACCATCAAGTATTCGTCTATATTTGTCATAAGCTTAAGTTCAGCTCCACTACTTTTGTATAAGGAATCATTAAACATTCCAGGTGTTGAGACATAATAGGAAGGATCTAAGCCATCATCTTTCAAGCATATAATAGTGTAGTTCATGAAAACATCCACAAGTAAAAGTACATCTGTTTCAAGATATAAGTTATGATATTCTCCAAAATTCTTCATTTCAAATTTCTGCCATATTTTTGTGCATATTCATAATCTCCTTTACTTATATTTTGCTAGCTAAAAATCGAATAGAAATCCTTTCTTGGTGGGAGCTTTGTTCTGTCAAATTTATCTCACGAATTTGTCCAATCATATAGAAATACACCTTTTCGGAAAAGAAGTTCAATCTTTTCTATCAAATAACCTTTTTCAGTAAAATGTTTGACAGTTAAGGTAAATTTTTCGAGCTTTCTACCTAGGCATTCAACTAATTTATCAAGTTCCATTCCCATATGTTGGAAGCTGTCAAGAAATCGGAGTTGACCAACATCTATAGCCTTATACTTTCCAATATTTTCTGGGATACATTTTAACTTATCAGCCGTGAACTTGCTTACAACTTTCATAAGTGG